AAGTGTCAGAGCAGAGATATTAATTCTGTTCTCCTGACTCTAAGCTTAGCATTCTCCACACCAGTGATCCTTAGTATTGCCTAGGCCTTTATGTATACCTATTGATCTGCTTGGAAGCTCTCTTTTGGGGATTACATAATTTTGTTTTTATTTCTCCAAGATACTATTTTTCTGCTCATAAATTTCTTTAATTTCAGCACTATGCTCTGTGGATAACAAGAGGTTTTATAACTTCTATCTGTATCCTGTTCTCCAAGGATGAGGTCCCAGGTTCTAGTTGGGCAAATGAAAAAGAGAGGTTTGAACATCCAGCAGTCCTTGTCCTGCCAAGTTGACATCCTCTCGATAGGCTATAGTTCGAAAGGCTACATCCTCCATCTACCATAGGGCATACATAATAAGGCTAGAGAACTATTCTTGTGTGAATCAGCACGGAGAGACTGTTAAAACCTCCTGAGCACGCGTTCATAATTCTTACTCATAAGACTAATACTCTGAGCTCCAGAGCTATATATCTATACCTGCCTACCACCCAACAGGAATCCCTGGGTGGTGCTAACAGTTAAGCACTTGACTAATAGCCAAAAGGTCAGCAGTTCGAACCCACCCAGAGGTACTGCGAAAGACAGGTGTGGCGATCTGCTTCTGAAAGGTGACAGCCTTGAAAATTCTAGGGAGCAATTCTACTCTGCATATATGGGATTACGATGAGTCAAATTCAACTTGAAGGCAACTAACAACACCAACAAGAAGAACCACAAAACTACACCTGAAGGTGTTTAAACATGCTCTAAACAAAACTTATCTTCTTTTACTCCCTTCCCCTGATTACATACCCTACTTAGTGGTAATTGCTATGCGTCCATCTAAGCAAAAAAACCTAGGTTAATCCTAGACTCTCACTTTCACAGAGCCAGTCAGTCACCAATTCCAGTATTTGCAGATCTCTCTCCCCACTTCTGCTGCCATCAGCGTCACTAACCTGCATTATTAGGAGGGACTCCTAACTGTTCTCTCTTTTCATTCTTTCACAGTATACAAACACTAAAGCTTAGCTGGGTTACAAAGTCCTTTATGATCAGTCCCCTTACCTGCCTATCCAAGTTCAACTCTTGAGATTCTCTCCATGTATATATTTTGACTCGAGTCAAAATACTTGCTCATTCATAATTTTATATTTATATTAAAGCATACCCCACTCTATTATAATCATGTGCATAATTCTCATGCTTCTTAAAACAAGACTGAGTTTTCTTATTGTTGTATCCTGATAAATAATGTGCTTAATAATATTTTCATATCAACAAAAGAATGAATGAATTATTAATGAAAGACTTCAATACTTGATAAGCCATTTATTCAAAAATTTGGAGGTCATTTTAAAATTGAATATTTTTACATTTCTTTTTTACTTTCATAGTATCAACATTCAATGATAGATAGCTTTTTATATTTAAGGAACTTAACAGCAGTGAGTATTTTGGGTCCAATATTCATATAAATACAATGAATTATTTTGTCTAATGTTCATACGGAGCCCTGGTGGTAAAGTGGTTAAGAGTTCAACTGCTAATGAAAAGGTTGGCTGTTCAAATCCACCAGCTGCTCCTTAGAAACCCTATGGGGCAGTTCTCCCCTGTGCTATGGGGTCGCTATCAGTCGGAATCGACTCGACAGCAACAGGTTTGGTTTTGGTTTTGGTTTAATATTCATATGAATACAATGATATACTTAATCACCTTAACTACTCATTAAGGTTGGCTGAAATCTGTTAGATTGCTCTAAATTAAACCATTACAAGTTCAAAAGTTTGCACATCCAAATAAATGGAAAATATAAAGAGATAACATTTTTAAAAAAGAAAATACTGGATGTCACCTAATGAAGGTATTAAATTTAATGACATTTAGAGTCCTTCCAAATTTTAATCTCCTGAGCAGAGGCTTAGCCTTTATTTTAAATAATGACCAAATTATGCTAATATTTCTAGAATAGAAAATTTTCCACTTTATTTAATTTCTCAATTTTTGTGTATGTCAATGTGTGTCATTGTTTATACCTGTGCAATATTTATTCTTACATACAGAGTTTCTGTAAAATTCTACACTATGCTTACATAGCACTCAAATCGCATCTTCATGCAAACACTTAACGAGCTGTGTATAATTTATCTGTTACTACATCTGTTTCCCCGACTAGACTGTGAGCTGAAGAACAGGCACCATATTACTCCTTCTTTAATCTCTAGCACAAAGAAGTAACACAATATGATCAATAAAATTTTGCTGAATAACTGGGAAAAACAAAACAAAACAAAATCAAAGAAAAGAAAATTAGTACCCAAAAAGACATCAAAAGAAAACCCCCTAGTTATAATCACCAAATTCTCTGTGATATGAATATGAATGAATACCCTATCTAGCTAAAATAAGACTCTATTTCAAAAAAATAAGAAACCGTCTCATCATTTTGAATAAAATTAGGCAGGTGGGCTTTACATTTTAAAGACTAAGAAGTCTTTCAAGTTTGGGCCAGTGACACCCAATTATGTAATGTTGTCATTGTTGTTAGTTGCTGTCAAGTTGGCCCCCGACTCGTGGTGAGCCCATGCACAGCGGAAGGAAATGTAGCCTGGTTCTGTGTAAATTCCCACAATTGACTGTAGATCGGACCTTTCGATCCATAGCATTTTCATTAGCTGATTTTCAGAAGTAGATCGTCCAGCCTTTTTTCCTAGTCCATCTTAGTCTGGAGCTTCTGCTGAAACCTGTTCAACATCACAGCAACATACAAGCCTCCACGGACAGATGGGTGGTGGTTGCGCATTAGCTGAGAATCGAACCTGGGACTCCCGCATGGAAGGTGGGAATTCTACCGCTGAACCACCACTGTCCCCTAAATATGTAATAAAAAAACCAAACCCATTGCCGTCAATTAGATTCTGACTCACAGCGACCCTAGAGGACAGAGCAGAACTGCCCATAGGATTTCCAAGGAGAGGCTGGTGGATTTGAACTGCTGACTTTTTGATTAGCAGCTGAGCTCTTAACCACTGTGGTAGTTCACATTAATAAGAAAACCATTTAATACTCTCCCTTATAGACAGTTCAAATTTATAAAGTCTAGCACAAAATCTAGTTTTCTTTCTGAGCACTTCATAAATGGTACAGCCTATCAAAGATTTTAAAACTATTCCCTTGCACAAGTCAATATGATATTCTATGAAGCTCTTAAGTGTGAAGAGTTTCCAGAGGGCTCTTTGAATTACTATCCCACCTAACTACACATTAACAATCTATGTAACAAAACTGGACTCACAAAACCGAGTTAAAAGAATTAGCTGTTTGAGATCAAAATGACAAATGGTAAACGCAAGGGCAAACTAAAAACCAAACCCAAACCCGTTGCCATCAGGTCAATTCCGACTCAAAGCGACCCTAAAGGACAGAGTAGAACTGCCCCATAGGGTTTCCAAGGAGTGCCCAGTGGATTCGAACTGCTGACCTTTTGGTTAACCGCTGTAGCTCTTAACCACTATGCCACCAGGGTTTTCCAAGGGAAAACTAAGAAGGCTTAAAACAAATTAATAAACTGTACTCTGTCACCACACACCGCAATGATCTCAAATGCAATGTATGGAAACGGAAGGTAGAGAAAGGGCAAAGTAGAAGCAGCTATAATAATTCTTCACATTTTATCTCCATTCAATAAACAATTATTTCTTTATAAAGCAAATTTTCCTCCCCTCATTCCAAATCTTAATTTCATTGATTTATTTTTTTTAAACACTGAGCAAATCTTAACTGATCACCTACTATGTGTTAGGCACTATCCAGATGTTAGATACTAGAGAGTAGATACTAGATATTACGATTTCTAGATACTAAAAACAAAATAAAACTATTCCCCGCTTAGAAACCCTGGTGGCGTAGTGGTTAAGAGCTATGGCTGCTAACCAAAAGGTGGGCAGTTCAAATCCACCAGAGGCTCCCTGGAAACCCTATGGGGCAGTTCTGCTCTGTCCTATAGGGTCGCTATGAGTCAAAATCAACTCCACGGCAACCGGTTTTTTTTTTTGGTTTGGTTCCCTGCTTATCTTCATGGACCTTACAGTCTAGTGACTTTTGTTTGTCTTTAAATAATTCTTCATTTCAAATACCAATTTTACTAGAAAATATATTTGCTAATTCAGCTTAAAAAAAAAAACTACTTATTTTTAATGTAGGCAAATGGAAAAATATACCTCCTTTCAATTAGGAAAAAATCATTATGGAATAAAGTCTAACTTAAAAACTAAAAAAATAGAAAACAGAAATGAAATGGTGATAGAAAATGGAAGAGAATATAAAATAAATATAAATCCATCTACCATGCTTGGGGAGGTCTAGTACAGAGTATTTGTCCCAAAACTTCATTAGAAAATATGGAAACTCTTTTTCTTGAAACATCATTTTTTGGTCATAAGATATGTTCTATGTTAAACATGTGATGCTAACTTTATATAATTGCCAACTGCATATAATTATATCCAAATCCTTGAGCTTATTTTCTATTATCTACAAATGGAAACTAGAACAGCTAGTAGCTGAGTAAAGCAATGAGGACTGGTCATGGCTACCTTCATAATGGTTTAGGAATCAGAAAGTTTCACGGCATGCCTAGTCATAAGCCACTCTTTGAAGGTGAAATTCTAACTTAATGTTGCTATACTGCACCAGCAAATGGGATGGTCCATCAGAAACTAAACAACTGATCAGAGAGTCTACATACCCCTTTCTTCCTTGTAAATTCTCTGAGATATTTTATCAATCAAATTTATTTTCTGGTTAAATGTTTCAATAAAGTTATTCATATCCACGAACTCTTCTGGGCGGTTTTTAACTCCTCTCATTGAGGATGCAACAGCTCTGACTGTCTGCCCCATCCGGCTTAGCAATCCAGGCCCTTGCTTCTTGTGAGAAGAGAGTTCCTAGAAACAAAAAATGCAATATTTGTACTGAAGTAAGCAACAATATTCCAAGATTCAATAATAAAAGGAACCTAATTAGAAGAATAAAATAAAGATAATAAAAATACTCACATAGGTCTTTTTAATAGCATGGTATACAAATGTCTTAATGCTAGTTTGAACCAAACGAGTTTTATTAGAGTACAATTCCTCCTCTAAGTCTATCTCCTTGGTAATAAACCCTTTCTAAGTACTTGTGTAAAACATGTATACAGTCTTTCCTCAGAGCATTCATCTTTAAAAGAACAGGGTTTTACAGAGAGAAGAGTGTTCAACGAGATACTAGAGAAGATAAGAGGATGATATAATATGCAATCTATATTTTTTTAACAGGAAGTTAATGGAAAAAATGATTGAAGGATGATTTCTTAGAGCCTAAGCTATTCTATGGAAAAAAAAAATCGGAAAACTCCATTTATTCTTTAGTCACAATCATAGCTAACATTTATTGAGAGCTTAACATATTCCAGGCATTATATTCACATTTTTATATACATAATTCACAAAAACTCTATGAATTAGGTTCTACTATTACCCTTACCTTACAGAAGAAAATGGAGGAATAGAAAGGTTAGGTAACTTGCTCAAGGTCTAAGAGTTAGTAAGTGGTGGAGCAAGAATCTGAACCCTGACAGTCTGACTCCAAAGACTTTGCTGTTTAGCATTAGGCTATTTTGCTTCTGTAGAGTCACTGGTAGGTTTACAAAAAAATATGACATGGCCATAGCTCCTCAACCAAATGAAGCAGGAGGCAAATCGTGATACCCTTTCCACTGGCTGGTTTAATAAGATTTTTAATAAGATATGTAACTAGCTCTTTCATAGCGAACCTATAAGGGACAGCTACAAACATGTTACATGAAAGAAATGCTACAGAAGTATCCACTAAATAGAAGTATCCCTTCAGAAGTATGGTCATGTTTAAAAACAACAACAAAAAGAGGACATGGAGTTCTAATGACGGTTGTAGCACTTCTTGAACATAGATTTGGGGACAAAGAGAAGTGAAGAGGAACACACAAGAAAAAAATCTATAAATAACTGTGCTGACTACCTAATTCACATATGATAATATTACGTATTCTTTACTTAATTATTAAATAAAATATCGTTCATTTTTCTCCAGATTTTCTTTCCTGAAGGTCTTACAGAAAATAATATATATAAACAAGTTTATTTCTAAGTCAGTATGATTTGTGTGCAAATAATAACAGATCCCATCCTTGACCAAGCAACATATCCATCCAGAAGTCTGAGGCATCATTTGATACAGTAAGCATTATCAGAGACAGCCCAAGTCACAACTGATGAGCTGTTACTGCAACTGTTGACTACAGAGAATGTTTCTAATAGCTTTTAAGGTTCAGGAACTCAGCTAATTTCACATTAGCCACAAAAGCTTTCCCGACAGTAGGTCTGTCTGCTGAGATTGAGATGAGCCACTTTTTAGGTTCTACCACTTTGGCAAGAACTGAGAGATAGAAAACTCTACAGTGGTCAGTAATTGTTTAATAGTGACCCTTTGTCCATCCATTATCTTTGTTGCTTAGTTATATCTTCACAGAAGAAAATAAAAAAAGGAAGAGGACATATATATTTTCGCTATTGGAAATGAGACCCTCCACATTAGGCAGCTGACGGAAAAGTAAGAATACTATAGCATGCATCTATCTATCTAATAAAATTTTCATATCAGCTGGGAAAACACTGACCCAGTCTTACTCCAAAAAATCTCAATAAAAGAATATATTTGCATATGATCTGTATTGGTTATATATGCACCCTGGCACTAAAAGAAAATTTCTTTCGTAAGAAAAACAAGTATTTGTATGTGGGGATGATATGAGATTTTTGTAATGGTTATAATGTAGAATTGACACAGGGCTATATCTGAAGGATCTCGCTACAATTTTTTTTTTTTTAAGCCACCTTAATTCAAGGACGATGATACCTGATTTATAAAGGTAAAAAAGAGGAAGTGTACAATCAACTATACGCATAGGTACTCAAGGATTATATGGATATAAATCAAAATTCTTTACCCACGCTTGTGCAGTAAGAAAAACTTTGAAGTCTTCATTAAATGTTAAAGTTGGATGATCAGCAATTCGGTTCAAAAATTTATGCAATGCCTTTCTCCGTGTCTCAATGAAGTCATCATTGAAGCGTTCCACCATTCCTTTTACTATAAACTTTTCTGGCAATGGCTGAAGCAAAAAAACGTGTCTGAGCATTATATTGCATAAGTTTATAAGCAACTCTACAGTTCATTTCCTTTTTGGAAAACTAGTGGGCATTTAATCATTTCCTACAAAAATCTATTTTTTCCATTCACTGTGCTAGAACCACAATCTGAGAAATAATAATGTTACAATAGCTCTTTTAAAAATCTATATGTAGATTGAAAAGTTTAGAAACAAATATTTCTTACAATAAATGAATTACACTGACTTTAAAGGTCTCAGATTAGCATTTAGGCATTTGAAAGACTCACAAGACAAAATGGCAGCCAGTCTATGAAAAACTTGCAAAGCTTACAGGAATAATCAGAGTGGGATGTGCTTCTTCAAGTCTTCCCTTCAACCACAGGAAATCTTGATAACGTCTTCTAACTTCAAATTCACTAGAGTCAAATTCACCACGAGATGTCTGAAGAAAGTGGGAAAAAAATAACATTACATGCAATATAAGATAGAAGATATTTGCCTACTGTTATTTTAGACATTCTGAAATAAATGGATCTCTAAGAAAAAATAATAAACCTGAATTATTCAGTGTTTGCCAGCCTGCACTTTTTTTTTTTTTGCAGTCATCTACTCATGTAGCACATGAAACAAAGCAAACTTCTCCATATTTCCAGAAAGAAAGCAAACATCATGCTGAAATTTAAAATCCACACTAAAGAATCGGTCTTATAACCACCGTCTGCCTTCCACAAGACTTTAACTACTATTATCTTTGGCACGACATTCTTGCTAACAAGAGTGCTCTGAATTTAGGCTTCAAATATATATCTTTTCTCCAGATGATTAGAATTCAGAATTTGAGGAATGTCCTATTTTTACAGTTTGGAAAATAACCTGGATATAACTGAGAAAAATGTTTTCCTGGGATTTGCTCAAATGAATTGCTTTGCTAAAATGTGATTTTAGTCTATGTAAATTCTAACATTTTACAGAGTGATTTTACCACTGTTTTAAAAATGTTATTAATGGATATTTGATGTGAAAAGGAAATCTTCCTGTCATTTCCCAAGGAATTTTATTTAGAGTTATATGCCTAAACTCCTAAAAATTAAGCAAAGACATTAAAATATATGTTCTCAACAAACCAAAAAATCTATGCCAACACGTATGGCAAGAAGAAAACATGGGAACAATCTCTGTCTCACTTCTATTGCCTGAATTCCAAGCCAAATACAAAAATCTGGATTATCTAAAGTATACTCACCTCTCACAAGAAAACAATTACTCCTACCAGTATCCCTACACACAACAGGACCAGGCCATTGTAATACACTGGGTTTTCATTGGTTGACTTTTTCAGAAGTATATCACTAGGCATTTCTTCCTAGTCTGTCTTAGTCAGACATTCTGCTGAAAATTTGTTCAGCATCCTAGCAACACGCAAGCTTCCACTGACAGACGAGTGGTAGTTGAGCATGAAGTACACTGGCCAGGAATTGAACCCAGGTCTCTTTCATAGGAGACAAGAATTCTACCACTGAACTACCACTGCCTCCTGTCCTAAATCAATTCTTAAATCAACTATACAGTACTAAGTTCTATTATCATCTCAGTTTTATCGATGCAAAAACTGAGGCCTGGAAGAATTAAATTTATGCTTTTAATTTCTTTGCCATACTGACTCC